AGTTGAATTTTCACATAAGTCTGGGTTCTCAAGTTACAGTGGAGAGGAAGGTCAGATGCTACCAAAGGGAACAATGTTGCTGTCTTCTTACTACAGCTGAGAATGATATTTAACACCTAAATATATTCACAGCTTTTTAATCAACACACAGGAAGAGCATGACCCAGAGTCCCTCCCCATCAGTTCTGCCTTCCCTCCTGGAGTTTTCCCAGACCCCAGCACTTACCAGGCCCCGTGCAGCAGGGTAGATGGGGGACAGAGAGAGATCTGCACACTTCACCTCCCACACGACACTGGGGTCCAGCCAGTGGTCTGGAGCCACTGCCCCATCAATTCTCACATAGGGGCGTGGGGTTGGCAATACAAGGGCCTGCAATGAGAAGGAGATGAGGTTAAGCCTCAAAGCCAGGGCTTTGGGAGAGAGGGATCAGAAATGAGGGAAGAGAAGAAAGTAGAGATGTTTCTCTAAGCAGTCCTTAAGACAAAGAACTCTAGATATGGAGTATCCAAACGAAATGGAAAAGGGAAGAAATAAGACACCACTGGGACTGAGAAGGAATACTAAAGAATACTAAGGAATACTAAAGAGAGACAGAAGCCCAGAGAGACAGACATACACACACACATACACACACACACACACACACACACGAAGGGAGAAGTTTGAGAAGGGAGGCACAAACCTAGGGAATAGCACAGAGATATCCAAGAATGGGACAAAGATGGGGTCTGACCTGAAAATACCAACATACAGGACAGAGCTTCATAACCCAAAATGCCTGAGACCACTAAGAGAGATAGTCCTTCTCTAGAGGCTCATAGCACTTCTAAGGGATAGCTCCCAGATGTATGCTGTGCTGGGACATGCAGTCCCTTCGCCAGCATCTCCAGGAAGTAGTTGGCAGATCTGGCACTTGAATCTAGATGTTCTCGGAATCCATGCTGTCAGCACCCTGGCACAGGCGAGTGTGATGAGAGGCACTGGGAAGTCATGGGGCCTACCTTCAGGCTCTGGTGATGCTCCTCCAGCTCTTCATCACTGAATCCAGTTCCCAGCTGCAGGAGAATATGGCAAATTAGAAGTTCATCTGACCAGCTAGAGTGATGCTACTGAACATTGGGCCAAAACTCATAGGAAATAAATGAAAGGCTGTACATGTCATGCACTGCCATTTGCTTTCTAGAAAAATCCATCTCCTCTGCTGTGTCTCTCCAACACCCAACACCTCACTGGGGGATTCTAGGCAGGAGCTCTACCACCTCAGCCCCTCATTGGAAGATTCTAGACACCTATACTGTTGAGCTACATGCACTGGCCTTGTGACTCTCCTACCTCCCAAGAGCTAGGATTACAGGCTTGCACCACCACTCATCACTCCTACTCTTAACACGACCATCAAACTTAAAACTAACATTTAGAAAATGCTAAAAAGGAAGTAGTCATAATCTGTGATGGCAGCTATCATTAAACTGGTTATGTAAGTTCCTAGCTAGACAAGTCCTGTCTGTACTGATAGCCGTATTATTGTTTGCCTTCTGTCCTAACAATAATGCTTTTAAAACCCCATTCTAGATTAACACTGTAAAAATGCAAAAATATTGCAAAATATATTTTTGGCCACAGACTAGTGTCCAAAATATGACAAATTACAAGCCACCTGATCACACGGGTAAATGTGAGATATCACTCATTTATTCAAAGACAGTGGAGCCTGCACATGCACATCTCAGAGTGTAACTGTATTTCTCCCCATCATGTGACCACCCAACTCCCCAAGACCTTGCATATGGCCTGCAGCTCTTCACTCTCTTCATCATAGGCAGCCAACAGGAAGCCCCCATACCGGCCAGCACGCTTCCCCCGACCCAGATAGGCACCAATCACCACAAGATCCAGAGTGTCACCCACACCGTCAAGGTAGTCCTTCTTCAGCTGGAGGAGAGAAGTGAGGGGTGAGAGGGAAGAAGGGCAGGTGGGCTTGTCCTTAAGTACTTGAGAACTCTGAGGAAGAGGAGCAAAGCTCATGGGGAAGCTGCAGGTGAAAGGACTTTTCATCTTGAAACAAAGCAAATGAGCTGGAAGTATGTGAGGGGAATCATCTTTTAGCTTTCCAGGCTGAGCAGGAATCTGGATTCTCCTGCCTCAGTCTCCAGAGTGTTGGGGTTAAAGTATGTGCCACACCCAGCTCAGGGGTCCCCTTGTTTCCCTCTTTGCTTCAGTCCCCAAACAGTCAAGGTTAACTTACTCAACCCATTCCTTCACACTTACCCATCCACTCCAGAAACATTTATGAAGCACCAGCTAAGTGCCAGGCAGGCACGTAAGATTATTGGTACAAGAGTGAATTATTGCTAAGGCAGGGAAGGTTTACACACAATGAGTTGCTTCTAGACAGGAGAAACAGACCACAGCCAAGAGGAAATGCACAGCAGGGCTAGCTTGCCCAGTTCCCCAGCGATCCAACTGCCATCTTGTGCCAGAAAACATTCCCCACCCACTTCGCACTTTTGCCCAAACCTACATCACACTGGCTTATTCTCTATAAAGCAGCCAGAGTACCTCTGCAAAGTGACAATAGGATCAGACTTTCTCTGAGACCCTGCTGACTTCCTGAAACCTTTAGAAAAGAACCCAGTTTCATCTCACAGGGCCCAAGGTGCTACACAGTCTACAGCCTGCTCCCCTGACCTCCCCTGCCCACCCTGTAGCCTCCTGGCCATTGCACCTGTGGCTCTCCAGTGCAGCTGCTCTACCCTCATCTTCACACAGCCCACCCCTTCCTGCTGTCCAGAGCTGGACCCAGATGTCCAGCTAGACAGCTTTTCTGAACCCAAGCCCTCCCTAACCAGGGTGATTCTTTCCTCATGAGCTCATCAGAGACAGTTTACCTTGGAACAACCCTGAGGGCTCTCCTTTGTGTACTTCATACAACAGTGACACAGCACAGGGAGCAGAGACCTAGCTTGGCTTCCTCACCCTGATATAACCAAGGTGTAGGCTACCAGTTCACAGTGAGTTCCAGAAAGAGCCATTGTCATGCTTTGCTGAGACAGGACATGTGACTGGGGTGAAATCATATAATGGAACCCATGCACAAATAGGAAGTGTTTGGAGACTCCGCTGCATAGTGGGGACAGACATCCATACTGGGAAGGCCAGGCAGAGGCCAGAATCACCTTGAGCCAATTGTGTGACCTCTTGGCGATCTCATAGGTGGCATCAACATCCAGGGTCTTCACCATCAGCCCCTCACAGGAGTCTGTAGGAAACATGGAAGCCTGACTGGGAAGCAGTGGCTCACGAAGCCTGAGCAGGCACGATTCTAGAACAATCTCAGGGGTTGGGAAATGGAAACATGGCCAGCCCGGGCTACAGCAAGGTTTCAGACCCTGAGAGAGGTCTGGTTGCACTCACCCTTCACCGACTGCTCCAAGAACTCAGCAATCTGCTCAATATCTTTGGTGTCCAGGGAGGTGGCGAAGACAAACTCGCCCTCTGTCTCCACGAAGTTCTCCCGGAGCAGTTGCCGGCGTCGAGACAAGGGTTGGCGAGTCAGGGACTGAGGAGAGAAAATGGACAATACTGAGAAAATAAAAAACAAAAAAAGCCCAGATCTTGACAGGGTACACAGGGGCCACACATGACATGTGGTTACAGAAAGCTGAGGAAGAAGGGGCAGCGGCCAGCAGGACTGTCAGAACTCTAACTGCAGGTGGAGGGATCAGAGAAAAGCAGAGCCCCCTAGTATGCTCAACTCAGGATTTCCTAATGGAAGCCATCATCCAGCCAGAATGAACTCTTTGTGGAGTTATAATTTAGTTTTTATCTATTATTAATTTGTTTATCATAATATGAAGATATGGGTACCCATGGCATATGTGTGGAGGTCAGAGAATTCTGTGGAGTCAATTCTCTCATCTTCACACAGGTTTCAGGGACTGAAGTCATGTTACGAAGCTTGCCAGGCAATCACTTTTATATGCTAACTGCCATCTCACAGGCCCCATTTCTTGTCATTTTTAATACTACCCAACAAAGGTTAGAGCCATGAGGTTAATACACATTTTCAAGAGGATCGTCCCCAAACTAACGGAGGACTGAGAATCCCCTTCTAAGTGAGAAAGTGATTATCAATGCAATGGTACTTCAATATCTATGGGAATGAGTCTGGGAGCCCCCCCCCCCAATCCCAGATATCAAAATTCACACAAGTTAAGGTCCTTTATAAGCAATGGTGAAATAAGTTAGGCAGGGGTTGATGCCTGCTTGCTAACTCAGGAGGATGAGGCAAGATCACACACATACAAACTTTATAAACACAGACAAGACAGACAGAACCTGAGTAAGATGTCCTTTATCCATGGGAAAGCTAGCCTCTGCTAACCTTACTTCTCCAAACAAACTCATCTGTCTGGTCGAAACAATCTGCACTCTGTGGCTCAATTAGCCAGAAATGTATAGACCATTAGTTCTCCTCATAGCCCAGTGACAGACTCAGGTCTGGACCAGGTACAGAGATTTGACTGGCACTGCCCAGACAGAAGACATCAAGAGAGAAGCAGAAAGAGGAGTTAAGAAAAGAATGGGAGATCTCGTCACTCAGCCCAACCCCCTAAAGCACACAGGAGGAGTTCTCTCCAGGCTGGGTGAGAATGACTTCTGTGACAAGAATCATTAGCTTCTTAACTAGTACCCTAAGTGACCGTTTTCAAGCTTTCATTCTTAAGACCCTTTATAGCCTTTTTTTTTTTTTTTTATGTTTTTAGCAGATACTGGAGATATAAGATGGTTTCATAAATAGCAGGCAGGGGCTCTACCACTGAGCCCCAGTCCCTCACTGGGGGACTCTAGGCAGGGGCTCTACCACTGAGCCATACCCCAGCCCCTCACTGAGAGAGTCTAGGCAGGGGATCCACCACTGAGTCACAACTTGTCAAAAAGTACTTGAGGACTCTCTTCAAAGGGCTTCTATTTAGGGGTAGGAAAGAGGTGGTCATACTTCTTGATATTCACGATATCAGAAATTTAAAATATAGTTAACTCATTAAAAAACAGTGCATTCAATATGTCAAAATAGCACTTATTTTTCCCCCCTTTTTGTGTTCTGCAAACAGAGCTTACGGCCTTGAGCGAGCCAGGCAGGTACCCTATCACTGTACTACACCTACACACCTCCAGACAGTGTATATTATAAAACATACATCTACCTAAAAATAGTGAGAAGAGGGGCACTGGCTGATCAACAGAACAGAGTCTGGTTTTTCCACTGCTTCTGAAATCACAGGGAGAAAACTCCACTTCATCGAGATGTAAAACTGCATGAGGAGTCTTCAAAATCACTGCAAGAGGTCTGGGGGCCTCTGGCCTATTGAGCCCACACTTAGAAAGCCACTGCCTGAGCATGACACCGCAGCTCAGTGATGGAGCAGAACCAGAAATGGGAGCCAGAGACAGCTCCAAACTCACTCCAACCTGCCACTCGGTGTGGCCACCTGTCACAGAGCAGAACTCACCTCTCCGTTGAGGAAGATGAGATCAAAGGCATACAGACACACCTGCACCTGTATCTCCGATGCATCCACCTCCTAGTTGCAACAAAATAAAGAACAGGCATGAGGGAAGGGGAGGTGACCTTCTGTGTCCTATCCCATCATGCTTTAGGCAGACACCTACCATTCCTCACCCCTCTCCCCAGTTGAGGTCACACTGCTGAGGAGGCAGCAATGCTGCAGGCATAAGTCCTGAGTGAGGATGGCTTCTGGGAAATCCTGACTGCATGATTTGCTTTCCACTCTCCCCTGCTGCTAGCTAATGATGACAAAAATGCCACTATTCTAGCCAACTAGAGATGAAAGAAAAGCCAGCTGAGGTACAGGTTGTGTGACCTCCCCAACAGGCCTTTCATAGAGAATGACAGAAATAGGAAAAGGACCCTTCTATCTTTCCTAACTGGGATCCCGGGGTGACACTGTGATGGCTGGAATGATGGTAGTCACTTTGCCAAAGCTAGGAGATCCACATCCAGATTCACTCTGACCCTTAGGGGGCCAGGCAGGACCCAAAGTCAGAACCGGGAGGAAAGAGACAGAGTGTGGCAATGCAACAGGGAGTTGATGGGCTGATGCTACCTTGCGTTTTCGTGTGGTGAGCACTTGGAATGGCTGGATCTGCTTCTTTTCCTGATCCCAGGCCACAGCCTCAGTGTCCAGGATGAAAGAAGTGACTGAGGGGAGTTTAATCTGCAAAGTGAGGATAGAGGTCAAAAGACAGACGCAGGCCAATGAATTCCTTTTCCCTCCATTGTTCTCATGAACCACAACTGACCTCAGAAAGACAAAAAGACCTTCCTGAGTCCTCACCAAGGGGCATCAGCTTTCCTGGTGACTTGTCATTTGGCAGCAGCACCCACAGAGAAACTTCCCTCTTCCTTCAACCACATTCAACTTCCCCTGAACCCTTGAGGTTCCCCTCTGAGGTCTCTGAGCCTTCACCTCACCACACCCTGCCTCAGCCGCCCCAACTACTGGTCTCCTATCCTGCACTCTACAATAGCATCTCTGGCCAGCAGCCAAGGTGACTTTCACAAACCCTGATTATTACTGCTAGGCTTACTATTAAAAATGGTGTCACTTCTTTGGGCTCTGGAGAACTTTTCATCAACCCCAGTCCTCTCTTCACTTCAGCAAATCAGCTGGCCTGTGTCTCTAAGGGGCAGGTATCTCACAGCACTGGGCCTTTGCACACCCAGTTCCCTATGCAATGCCTGCCTTCTTCCCTACCCTCTTTCCTATGGTCTGCCTTCCCTGGGAAGCCTTCTTTTCCCTCACTAAAACACTGGTACAATGCCAGGGGCTGCCTTTCATGTTACATCCCAGAGCTAGCTGTATGGTTTAAGACACTGCTTGGCAATTCAAGAATGTTCAATTCAAATCTCCTTTTCCCTCAGCAAAAGGAGCTAAACATAGGGCCTTAGGAACTACATGCCAAGTGAGTGTTCTACCACCATGTCTTCAGCCTTTACTGGTGGACTCAAGAAAAGTGCTCTACTGCTAAGTCACACCCCAGTTTCTCATTGTTCCAGCATTAAGCAATGTCCCAGTTATGGTTCTTATTCAGAGTCACAGATGTTGGACCTTTTCTTCAGAGTCTATAGTGTGCCCCTCTAATGAAGGCAGCAAGCCCTGGTTGTGCTACCTACCACAGGCTACAGCACACAGCAAATGCCTAATTAACTTTTGCTGAGTGAATGGGCACAGAAAACATGCTCCAAAAGGGTACTTCCAGGACATAACAAAACCAAGATGTGCTCAGTGGTTAAGAGCACTTGATGTTCTTACAGAGGACTTGGGTTCCATTCCCAACATGCAGGAAGAACAGAGAAAGCCCTGGCCCGAGGCCTAGCCCTGCTCTCCCTCTGAGCTACTTGTAAAGCCGCAGCTGCTCACAGGCCAGTGCCCTTTAGGTCCTCTCTTGGCCTCACTACTGGACAGGCTTCAGACTGATCCAGGATTCTACTAAGGATGTTCATCAGAACCTGTGCTAGACAGTGCCCACAAGTTGAAGCCAAGGGGGGTGAGGGTAGGGGTAGGGGTAGGGGTCCAAGAAAGCATTAACTTCCCCATGAGCTGGGTGAGACATAGCCTAGAACCTCCTTTTCCCTTTGTTTCTATCTGGAAGTGTGGCAGTTGTAGGGGGACAAGAATAGGATGCAAGCTAGACAAGCAAGTACAGTGGAATCAGAACAGCCTTGGATCACCTGCCTCCAGACTACAAAAATAAGCAACATCTGCTCAGGCCATACTGAAGCAAGACTGCTATATACAGCTACACATCTGTCAGTCTCCTAGTAAGCCCCACCCCTACCGCACCAGGTTGGTCCAGAGGGGTCTATACCACAGCTCAGCAGGCAGACACTCACCTTGGGGATGCGGCTGATGATGTCAGGATACTTTCCTGTGTTGTCTTCCTGGTTCCTGCTGAAGATCTTCACCTCTCCACCTTCCAGAACATGGATCTACCATCACAGGGAAGGGAGAGAAAGTCAGGCAAACCCTTCCTGTGTGACACTGTCTTTAGACCCCACCTTCACTGATGAAGTTTGGGAAGCTCATTGAGATATACACAGATCTGAGCAAATCATCCTGGTACTTGTAACCTGTGTATGGCATCTACCATCTTCTTTTAACATTTATATAATGTGTATATGTATATGCATGCTTGTGTGCACAAGATTTACCATACTGTTGAGCGTAGAGGTCAGAGAACAAGCTGAGGAAGTTAGTTCTCTCCCTGCACCATGTGGGTCCTAGGGATCGAATTCAGGTCATCAGGCTTAGTAAAGCATCGTGCCTACTGAGTCATTTCACCAGCCTGATTCCCTGCCTCCATTGCTTCTGTCTTCTCATTTCCCCATCTTCCTCTCTTTGAAAGCTCATCCACCTTGCTGAATGCAACCAGACTTGTCATGAGTTGTGCTACAATTGAACCATTCTGGATTCTACTGTTGGCTTAGTTGTTTGAATGCTGTCTGGTCACAAAATTTAAGCAGGGTTTTATATATACATGTCATCTCACATGTACGGTATCTTTAACATATATACGCACATGTTTATAATCATGACCACTATTGTGAACTGTTTTCTGGTTGTCTTCTCAGTATTATTCTGGAGACTCACTGCTGAGGCTATACACGTGGAATCCACTGCTGTGACTGCCTCAAAGCCTCAGGTACCACTCACCTCATGTGCTATCCCTTACTCATGTGATAAACACCAAACTAGTGCCAAATCCCACAGATACAGAAAAGCCATAGCACACTTCCTCAGCACCAATGCAGTGGTCCCAGGAGGCACCTGCCTGTCACTGCACTAAGACCACACAAGCACCATAAATCATATTGTATTCACCAAGCACCAGTGAAGTCAGCATCTCCTGATGACCCTTCTGTGGGTCAGAACTTCTAGCAACCCCATTTTGCCATAAGCTGGAGAAGATAGGTACCACACTCACTGAACAGACAGGAGATTAAAGCCAAAGAGAGGACTGTTTCATTCAGGACCTGTACTGAGTATCCTCCTCACACAGGAAGGGCTGTGCTTAACCCCCACCTGTGCTCGCTGCCCATCGTATTTATACTCGCAGGTGAAGTCCACCTCCTCAAAGCGCTTCAGTACCTCGCTGACACCCCGAGTAGGATGGGCCAGCATTGGTTTAAGAGGGATCCCTGGGAGGAGAAGAAAGCAAATTAGGATGGCAGAGGGAAGGTGATCAATCAAGGAATTAGAGGGAGAGGCAAAGGCTACCAATGTGCCCAGGACCTACTACTCTCTTCTCCTGCCATCATGTAAAGGGGAGCAACACCCACATTTCAGAAGAGATATCTGGGTTCCCATACCAGCCTCCCCTATTATTCCTAGAATAATAAGAGCTGCTGCAGTCCACAGGAATCATGTAGTGAGATTTCAGCAGATAAGGCAGAAGGCTGACCCAGCAGAACAAATGTATTCTCATGGAGGAAAAATCAGTTTGCATGGTGCTGGGCCTACCACCTTTTGCATATCAACTGATTCTCACAGTGAATCATAAGCACTCTCCCTTGGTGTAAGACTCAGCAGAGTTTAGACAAGTGGGCACGACTCTTTCCCACATACTGGTATATTGGGTCATCCCCTACTCTGTGGGACCTCCAGTGGGAAATTCAGATTTGGTTCCCATAGTCTAATCTCCACTTCACTCCCTGAGATATATCAGAAGCCACCTCCCTGCAACTATCTTCCATTTGGCAGGACATGCAGTCAGGAAAGGAGTCTTTCATACAGATCCCATTTGGGACTTTCAAAGATAAAGAGACATCCAAGCTCAGGGAATTGCCTTTGTTTTGTGTGATATAAAAACCGGAAACTTTACAGAACAGAAGAATAGAAGGAAAAGAATAAAGAAACTGATGCAGAAAAATACGTAGCGGAGAGTTCATTTTCATCCTCAAATCTAAGTCCCGCGCCTGCTGTAAGTCTTCTCCTGAACCCCGAGGGGACACTGTGGCTGGCACTCAGAGGTCCCCAATAAAGAGCAGTATATGGTCACATCAGTCACATTCTTTATGAGCAACATGATTATCTCCCCTCTTTCCCTGACCATATAGGCTTTAGAGCAACAGCTTCAAGATAGCAGAGGGACAAGAAAAAAAAAGGAACCCAGGTCCTTGAATGACCACTGAAGCACAGTCACACGCTGCCACAGCCACCTGCCAGGCTCTGAATATGCAGGTGAATTCTCTTAGGTCAAGTCACTGCCTTCTGGGGGAACCTTTGCTGCTGCAGCCCATGTTCCACTCAGTTATAAGGGAGAGCTCAGAGATAAAAGAAAGGGTCTCGGCAAAGTGGACAAGTACTCAGAAGTTATCTGGGTGCAGCTGCTCAATGCAGGATAGCAGTCCCAGCTTCAAGGGCCCATGGCATGGTACCTGGGCTAAGCCTGCAGTGCTCTGGGAGACGTTCCAGCCCATGTTCCAACAGCACAGGGATGATGCGATCCAGGTCAGGTACCTCACTAGGAAAGGATTAGAGAGAAGAGAGCAAGATGACAAGGTCTTTTGTTTTCTTTCATGGTGCTGGGTGAAGAGGCAGAACTCAAGGTCTTAAGCATGTGAAGGAAATGTTCTGTTGCTGGGTCACACCCTCAACCTAGATCAGGATGGATCTAGGCAGACATTAGGGGATTCTAGGACGTGGATTCTAGGCAAGCACTGTATCATTGAGCCATGCTCTTAGCCCCTCACTAGTGGATTTTAGGCAAGCACTCAACTGCTAAGACACATTCCCACTCTGATTTTACAAGACAGGATCTTGTTACACACCCCAGGTTGGCCTATAACTTGAGATCCCAAGTGTGTACTGAGATTTCAGGTGTGTACGACCACGTCCAGCCCATAGAGGTTCTTTCTAGAGCTTGAAAACTGTCTTGTCTATATACAAGTCCAAGTACAGAGATACCAGACCTGGGCTCCTGAACATCTCTGCTTCACTGTGACCATGTCCCCAACTCCTCGTCACTATAGTTCCTACTCTCAGTCACCATACAACATGCTGATTGTCTCCCTCAGCACGTATCCTTCATCACCCTCTGCTCATGTCCTGAGGGCAGTAACTGTGTCCCACTCAAGGCTATTGCTGACTTATTCACCTAGTCTGGGACAGGGCAGAGTGGGTCAGACAGAGTTGGGCAGATGGTAGAGCCTCCCAGAGGCTGAGCCACTGGGAGATCCGTAAGAAACTCATGACTGCTGTGCGCCCAGTACCCAGAGCAGTCGGACCCAGGTCAGGTGCCTTGTGGATATTTATGGAACCACTCTTTCCTCTAGCATGGTCACTGAGTCAAAGGTCCTCGGTCAGCTGCTAACTAAAGTCCCTTCATGTGGCTCACTATAGAGCCCTAATCCTCTCTGTGCCTGTAACATCTATTATGAGCAGTCACCAGTCTCATCTCTGGGTACCTTAGGGCGTCTCGTGCCTGTAGCCCCACATGCAGTCAATGCCTGCCTCTCGCTGCTCACAACCCAGTGTCATTCCCTGTCATGATCATGGTCCCTTGCTATTGTTAGACTCATGGAAGTCACTCACGTGTTGGCCATCACTGCCCCATCCCTGCATCTCACCAGAAGGTCTGCTTCAAGATCATGCCTTGTTCTTCCAACCACATCTTTCTGGCCTCTGCTGTCTTGCCCTTCCCAGCATCCACAATAGCAGGGGGAAATTCTAGGAAAAGACCCACCAGCAGCTTAGTGATGAACATGACCCTCAGCTACTCCAGGGTCCATGGTCCCAGAGCGCAGTATGTGGTATATGACATGGAAAGGAATGAGGTAAGCTGCCCAAGAGCATTCTCAGAGGAGAATCAGGCAACAGATGGAAAAGGGAAGCCCTGAAAAAACAGTGATGGCATAAAAATAGGCCAGAACTACTCACCTTGGCCAGGGGGTGTGAGGCTCACAGCCTGGGCAAGTGCAGCCAAGACCGACTGCTCAGCCAGCCCAAGGCGCAGCCGTCCACTTAAGGACCTGAGGAAAAAGCATCAGGGGTGAGCAGGCTGGCTACTCTCTAGTTTTGCCCTCTATAGTTTGCCTGCTCCTGTCTACCCAATCTCCCCAATCTCCACCTTTTGTGGAACCTCTTCAATGTCCTATCTTCATAGCCTCAAAGGGCACCCAAGATTATAACATAACCCCTAAATGACAAGGAAACTAAAGCCAGTCAGGAATGGCCATGACCACTATTTATTCCTGGGAGAAGGAAGCAGGAACTTCACAAGTAACAGGGTATGGGCTTGAGGAGGGAAAGTCACAGACAAGACTCTGCTAGAGGGTGTCACAGTCAAGAACCTGACCCAGCCCAGGCTGTGCTGTAAGCCAGTCACTACACAGGTAGCTAAACCATCCACACCTCCACCTCTATCAACTGCAGGCTCTACCTGACAGTGGCTAGTAGAACTGATGCCATCAAACAGTAGGCACAGAGCAGAGCACCTAAGAAATTGTTTCAAGACACACTTCAAGAGAGGTCAGTGACTTTCCTTCTATCATGATAGCTTTATGTTGAACTCAGGCCAAGGCAGACGTAAGTAATAAATCACAGAATTTACCCTTGAGCTCCAGGATCCTTCTCTAGGTAGGATCACCAGTGGAGGGAAGTTAACCCATGAAAGGAAATTATTATAGTTTAATAAGAAATATTCCCCCCGAACAGGGGGGGAGGGGGGTAGGAGAGAGGGGAAGAAGGAAGGGGAATGGGAAAAATTTATATAGTTCAATAAAAACAATTTAAAAAAAAACAAAAAATAAAATATAAAAAGAAAGAAAGAAAGGTTCCCCACAAGTTCACATTTTAATGCTTGTCCACAGCTGGTGGTACTATTTTGGGAAGCTGTGGGAACTTCAGGAAACAGGGCCTAGCCAATGGAAGCAGGCCACTAGGTCACTGTACAGCAGATTATACATGCCTTGGTTCTAGACTTACTGTTTCCTTGTCTGCTATAATATGAGGAGCCTCCTCCCCACACACTCCTGTTGCCACACCCTATCAAGCCTTCCCCAGCATGATGAACGCAAACCTTCCAAATCATGAACCAAAAAACTCCTCTCCTCCATCAGGCAGTTTGACCACAGTAATGCAAAAGTAACTAACAAGGATTCCTATGCACAGTCAGAACTGTGGTACTTTTCTCATCAGAAGGCAGTTAGGTTGTTAACAGTATCTGGGGCTGCCAGAGGCTCACCATCTAGGCCCATATGCCTCCCCAGCCTCATGAGTCCTATGTTTACCTGGCAATGAATCGGGCTTCTGAGTGGCGGCAAGCGACAAAAAGGCCCTTGATGATGTCCACCTTCTTAGCCATGGACTGAAAAAGTGGAGAAAAGGCATAACACCATCAGAGGAGGAACCAGACAATTTTCAGCTTTGGAAAAGCTACCACCACCACTGCCACCACCACCACCGCCACCACCACCACCTGTTGTAGCCTCTTGCTCTGGGGTCAATGACAATGAACTAGCTCTGTGCCTCTCTCTCTCCCTTTATCCAACAAGCATTAACAAGAGTTCTGCCCTTCCCACCCAGGAGTCATGGCATTAGGTTCCAGGGTCTCCAGGGAGAACAGGACGAGACACTGTGAACCACACAAGCAGAAAAGAACGCTCAGCTTCCACAGTCACAGCACACAGTCCCCTCCACATGCTTTGCTTTAGGTCCTTGGACATCTGGGTGTTGGGATGAGCCACTCTGCTCCACTTACAGCACTGCCAGTGAGCCGGGCAATGTCACAGAATTTGGTAAAGACCCCGGAGGTGGTGAGTGGAGGTGGAGGCAGCATGAGCCTCTGAGTGCTGCGGCTGTTTTCGGCCACCAGTCCCACATCACCCTTCTCAGCTACCTCAGCCCGAATGGACTCCAGCTGACGACCTTGATGGAGGAGACAGCAGGGAAGAAAAGGGGATGGGGACATTGTGGCTACCTGTCTCCCTTCAATGGCTGGATGTTTCTCCAGCTATCTGGGCTTGTGGTGTTTCCTCTTTCCTACAGATCACTTCCTAAGTACAACTTGTAAGTACTTGCTCCCATTAGGTAAGTGTAAGAAGGCTAAGCGACAGCCAGTCAGAGGAAGACAAGCAGCTGAGTGAACATACCCAGACTCAGGGACACCTGTGGACGGGACTGAAATCCATGGGATGGGACAAAGTCAATGAAGAGTGGGAAGAGCTTCCTATTCTATTCTTACTATCTGACAGTCCCCAGCTTCCTGTTTGTTTCTGTTTCTGTTGTTCTACCTTTCAAAAATTGCAATAAAAATATGGGCTGTGCCTTAACCTTGCTTATGGTTCAAATTATTGTACACTTGAGGTACGAACAGGAGGCTGGCTAAATGGACAGGCAGGCAGTCACAGCAATTCAATAGCTGAGTTTGTCCCATTGTCTGTCTTCACCCCTCCTCTCCATCCCATAGTTCTTGTCCCAACAGGCTGGGCCTCCATACCCTGTACTACCCACGTCTTAAAAATCTGGTCCTGTCAAGTACTCTTCCCCACTAGCCTCTTCCTCCACCCTGACCCACCCCAACCCCTTCATACCCTCCATGTGTCACCCCTGTTGGGGCCTCCTACCTGTGGCCTGGGCAACTGCCTTGAGGAGGACACCATCACCAACGCCCAGCTCTAGTCCCTGCTGAGGTGGCCCAAGGCGGCTGAGGCTGAGGTAAAGGACAGGGAGCAGGTCTGGAGGTGACAGGGCCACCACAGAGCGTAGCAGGTTGCTCAGTGTCTCCACCATCTTGAGCCTAGAGGAAAGAGTCGGATTATGTCCACCTATCTCAAGGTCAGTGGGGTGTGGGGTCCCAGGAAGTAAGGGAGTGGGTAAAAGCAACAAGAGAAAGGAGAGGGACGAAGAGCTAAGGGAATAACGACAGCTTGCCTATGGACGGTGACTGTGAAAAGGACAATGAAGATGGTAGTAATCACTAACAGAACAGCAGCCACGTACAGACACTTCTCCAAGGGGGTGCTGGTTTACCCTTTCCACCATCTGCCCCCTCTGAGATAGGTGGCATCATTATCCCCAGTTTACAAGTGAGAAAACAGGCATGGAAAGACTAAGACTTGCCCAAGGTCATAAAGCATCAAGCTGAGGTTCAGGCTGAGGTTGTCCACTCCAGGACACTCAGCCACTGAAAATAATGGCCATGCTGTCTACGAAACGTTGGTTATGGTGACACACACAGAAACTGTGGGCTTCCTATTTGCCTGACTTATACGGACTAACTGAAGAGGCCGTGTAGGCTGGGGATGTAGTCCAGTTGGTGGAGTGCTTGCACAACACACACAAATGCCCACACAAACTGAGCATGGAGACACACCTCTAATCCTACTACTCAGGAGGTGGAGGCAGAAAGAGCAATTCAAGGGCAGCACGAGCTACACGAGACCTGTGACAAAAAACAACAAATTTTAAAGAAAGGCTGTGTTTTCTTACAACAAACCTGAAGAACAATTCTTTTAGGAAGGCAGGAAAACTAGAGAAACACAGAATCACCATCTTCATCCCTGTGCAAAGGCCACATCAATGGATGGTCATTGCAGGGGAAAAAAAAAAAATCAACCGTTGGATGTTGGAATGTGCAGACACCTTCCTCCCGAAACCCTTATATACTCAGCTCCAGAATGGGACATATCTTGAAATAAGAACTCTGTAGGTATGACTAAGGATGGAGAGGAAAGCATGCTGGATTAGAGTGAACCCTAAACCCAAGGTCTCTCAAAGAATAGGACACAGAAAGAGAAGGTGGTAATGCGTACAAGCCTAGAAATGCTAAGGCTGGCTGGAGTCTCAGAAGCTGGGAGAAGTTGTGCCAGGTTCTCTCCCCAAGTCTGAAGAGGAAACAACCTGCCCACCAACAACCAAACTGTTGCCACCACTTTAGGCTTCCTATGTTGTGAGAAAATCATTTTCTATTGTTTTAATTTACCAAGTGGCAATCTGTTTCTGTCACCCTGGGACAGCAGCAGAGGTAAAACAGTGGGTGGATATAAGAAAAGGAGCAGGAAGTTCCCACAAGGTTGCTAAGAGGAAAGCTGCATAGTGGAAAAGTCAGGCATTCAGCTTTGGGACCTGGTGATAGGGGACTAAACCAATGACATTATATGTAGTGAGAAAGCATTGTCTGAAACTAGTTCTGAGGATACACGCTACAAATCCAAAGTGAGACCTTCACCCAAGTGGCCAAAACTTTCAGCAAGTATCAAGGTCACAAAAAACAGAGACAGATGGAGGTGATGCCTGCGGACAGGCCAGCTAAACACCACAGGTGGGAATCTCAGACAAGAAACCTGAATAGAAATGGGTATCACAATGCAAATGAAGGCAGGAATTCCTAACAGCCTTGTGCTGACATCTTGATTCTGAGCATCTTGGTTCTGACCATGGTCTAAAACCAGAAAAAGGCATCAACACAAAGGAAGCCAGTATCCAGATATATGACAACACTCAATTACTTCTGAAGGTTTTCTAGAAAATATTCCCAAAAACTTTTTTAAAAAGAAACAAACAAATCGGATAACCCTGTACCCCATGATTTTAGGTTATGGGTCAGGTCAGTCAACAACAGTTCCTTCTAAGTAGATAATGTTTGAGATTCTCCAAAAGCTAATGTCTCCCCTATGTCATGTTGATAAATTCAGTCTCCACAGAAGGCAGAGATGTATGTTCTCTCCTTTATTCATGGGGAAACTGAGTCTCAGAGAGGTAGGCCAAGCCACCTGCCACAGGCATAAAACCAGGAAGCAGAGCATGTTGACTGTCCCCTTGACCCCTTTCTGGTACTCAAGGCCCTTCCCATGTCCTCCATCACCTCACTGTAGGGTTACACTCCATGGGAAGTTCTTAAACATTCCCAAGGAAACATTTCTAAGACAAAGCATTGAGGGCAGCCTAAAGATGTATAAAAATGAAGGAATATTATAGGAAAATTTAAATATTCCAGAAAAGCTTAAGCCAACATGGAGAAAAATGAGATTGATCAAAAACAAGCACAGGTAGAATGAGTACACCCCATAACACTTATACCACAGAAAAAAAAACCCTAGGAGAAAGTTCAGAAAGGGACAGGACTGGTGAGAGAGGCAAAGGAGCCACCATGGACTACTGATGCTGATGTTGTGCATCACTGGGAGAGAAAGCTCTGCAGGGGAAGTGTGGCAAGCAAGGTCACCCTCCTGTAACCAAGATTAGACTACACTCACTTGAGATGTGAAAGCAAGACTGAAATCACTCGGTGTGAAACATTTCCTGTAATTCCTAGAATCTGTTTCCTAACTCTGCAGATCTGGCTGACCCTTGTTTCTCACACAGGCACATTCAACCTTTGACACTGAAAAGTCCAGACTGGAGAACAGTGCAATCAATTGACAATCAACAAGAGACAGTTCTCACAACACATTAAAGTGTAAGATTTCTGTGTTCTCAGGCCATAACACTTGGCAGTATGCACCTTTACCTACTGAGTTGTCTCACTGTCCCTGATTGCCAATATTTTTAAGCCATGTTTCAATAGGATTGTAGTCATTTAATCCAATGTTTGAGTCTCCCAAGCAATCTTTCATAAAAACCTAAAGTTTGCTGTTTGTAATAATTGATGTAATTATAGAACAACAGAACATTGTCTTGGTTATCAGAAAATAAGTTGCTTCAAATACTGTGTAGTTGAGTATAACAAAGGAGTTTTGACTTGGGGTAAGGCTGTGTGTGAAGCCTCTTGTCTTGTTCATACCTGCAAATGGACTTTGTGCCCAGTAAGTACCTGAGTGATACTGAGTGGTTTGGATAAGAAGTGTCTTCACTGGCTCACTTATTTGCACATGTGGTGGCCAGCTGGTGGTATGTTTGGAAAGGTTGTGATACCTTGAGAAGACCTAACTTTGGAGGGGGAAGAATGCCACTGGGAGCGAGCTTTGAAGATTTATAGCCTCACCCAACTTCCTCTTCATCCTCTTTGCATCCTGTGTATGGATAAAATGTGATTGGCTAGCTTCCTACGGCTTGTTACCGTGCCTTTCCCACTACAACGGGTCCATAAACCAAAATAAACACTCTTTTCATAAAAAAAAAAAAGAAAAGAAAAGAAAAGAAAGAAAGAAAGATTTCTGTGTTGAGCTACAGTCATAGCTATCTTTGAGCACAGGCTGGACCTGGACCCACTTAGACCAAGAGAATATGCCATCAGAAACGATGCTGTTGTGGCACATGTCTTTAATCCCAGCACTCAGAAGACTAAGGTAGGCAATCTCTGCGTTCACGGTCAGCCTGGTCCACATAGTAACTTCCAGGCCAGCCAGGGCTACATAGAGAGACCCTGTCTAAAAAAGAAAAAGAAATGATGCTGAAGGTCTTCTGAGGCTGGGTCTCAAAATGATGTGAGCCATTTTTGTGAATGGACAGTGACTATGATGGGAAGAAGAGATGAGGAAAGACCGCAGGGAAGAAGGTAGCACACAATGCCATGCTCTGGACAGAGTACCTGTCCCCAGACCTGAGTAATTAATTACCGAGCAGAAACCTCCTCTATCTTCTCAAATGTCCGGGCCACAGCAAGAAAAGGAACCCTGGGGAAAAAAAGAGATGCGAGAACCATTTGAATAGGCCATCATATCCTGTATCCAACCTGCCTCCCCGCACCCTCCTATGGGATAGCCTTGCCAATACCAAAATGCAGAGGCAACTATCCACTATCCCTTCCCATAGTGTTGTGTCCCCAAAGTAGAGATGGGAGGGATGTTACAGTTCTTCCAAAAGAGGTCAAAGTCACGGTACAGAAATAAGACAGCATGGGAAGGCTAACTCCTTACTTCTGGCCATGTTTCCAGCAGGCATCTTCAATGGGATGGTAATTACTCTTGGAAGGATTGTAATTTGTTGGATCCAGGGTTCTATGAAGGCAAAGGAGAAATAAAATTGGGTAACTCTGAGGAATGTTTCTACTGTGTTTTAGCTGACTCACAAGGCCAAAGGCCACCAATACCATCTCCCCACTGGTAGAAACTAGGCAGAAGCTCTACCACTGAGCCTCTACCGTCTCACGGGTTGATTCTAGATAGGTGTTCTACTACTGAGCCACACTCCAAGCCCCTCACTGCAGGCGGAGAGGGGGAATCCTATGCATTGGTTCTACTAAGCCCTATACAGTTCCTTGCTGGTGGATTCTAGGCAGGTGCTCTACCACTGAGCCTCGCCAAGAGCCACTCACTGGGCAACGATTCTGAACAAATCCTCTACCACTGAGTTACAACCCCAGCCTACATATGGTTTTGAGTAAAGCAAGAATGGAGTCTGAACCCATTACTTTGTAGGATGCTTATCTACCTATCCACCTGATTGTCCATTCAACAAATTTTCTTGTGTTCATAGCCGGTGGTGTAAGAATGGCCCAATCATGATGGGCAGTAGTGGCGCACACATTTAATCTGAGCTCTCAAGAGGCAAAAACAGGCAGATTTCAGTGAGTTCAAGACCAGCCTTGTCTACAGAGTTACAAGACAGGCTCCAAAGCTACAGAGAAACCCTGTCTCAAAAGAAAAAAAAAGAATGGTCCAATAACAATAAAACAATCACTTAGCAGCCTATTCAGAGAACCACAACTCTAATTCACAGTAGTTATCAGGAAAGAGAAGCGGTTCTAGGTGATCCATATCCATTAGCCACTCAGGGCTGGCAAAGAGGTTCTCAGGAGATCCCAATGAAGATGCTTGTTGTTTCTGAAACATGTGCTCAACCTGGCAAGCAGGATGGTGGAATCAGAGTACTAAGAACTGAGGACAGAGTGCTGGGTGAGGACCAGTGGGCAAAGAGGCTTAAGATTTTGTTCTGGGGTAAGTGCATAACCACTCTAGACGGGTGGATATGTGAGAGAGGTAAGAAAACCCATGATTTCATTGCTGTGTCGCAAAGGTGCCCCCAGTCCTTTGACAGAAGACAATCCTTTGGAGGCTGGCTGGAGGTCAGGTAAGAGGTCAAGAAATCAAAGCATTTGCAAACTCTGTCTCTGAGCAGTTCTTATTCTGCCTGCATCCTAAGGCTTTGAAACAGGGGCCAAAGATGTCTAAAACACTGACCAATGCCCAAGCCCTCTGAGCATAGGAAGCCCAAGCTGGGGCTGAGACAAGGGATGAAGACAGGAATGTCCTAGATGCTTCTCATACCCGGGCACAACTTACCCCTTGCTCCCTTCCTTCCTTGGAGTACTTGATTCTTCTTGTTTCACTTCAGCTTTCACCGCTGGCTTCCGGGGAGCTGCAAGGGAAGACAGGGAGCAGAGGGTCCTGACTCCTGACAGTCCCACCTTCCAAGCTTTGTCCAGTCAGCACTGCCTGAGCAGAATCTGCAATCTGCTGGTTGTACAGCCCAGAGGAACAAGGGGAGAGAGATGCTCACCAAAGAAGCTGCTGAGTGTCTTGGCACTTCTGGCAGGAGGTTTGCTCTGTTCCTCTTCCTGAGGATCCTGTTTGACACCAGCCTTACACACTGTCTTTGTCAGGGTTACCGACTCTGAAGTGAGAAAGGTGATACAAACTATTTCTACCTATAGACTTTAAGAAACCAACTTCCCTGTATCCTAGAAGTGGAAAATCCAACAATTCCAACTTTTCTCCATCTGTTACGTAAATACAGGGTCTCTCTGGCCTGATGTTCACTCCTCAATGCTAATGAAAGCACAGCTGGGACTGGAAATGGAAGACTTAGGAATGGTAGTGAAAAGAAACCTCAGGACCCAGCATCTGCCTGAAATCCCAGCCATTCAGAACACTGAGGCAGGAGGATATAGGAAGATCCCGTCTCTGACAAACAAAAACGTAGAGCTAGGGGTGTGACTCAGTGGTAAAGGACTTGTTTAGAATCCCCCAATGGGGGGCTAGGAGAATGGTAGAGCTCCTGCCTAAAATCCCCAGAGTAGGGCTGGGGGTGTAGCTCAGTAGCAGAGCAATTGCCAAGAACCTGTAGGGCCCGGGTCTGCCCCTGCTCCTGGGGTGCATCTTGAGGACAGTTTCTGGTCAGCCAGTTAAAACATTCTGTTTGTTCCTGTGCTCCCTCTCCCTCACCTGGTGATTAGCTGTAGGGCATTGTTTCATCTTTGGTATGATAATTTCCCACCTGCCTGGGCGGAAATCCTTATGCAGCAGCTAGGTATAATGACCCAGGTCTCTTGTGTGTTCTTTCAATCTCCAGGCCCTTGCCCGACTTGCATACGGTACAGTGGCACGCGAACTGTACCGAGGGGGTAACACAGAAGTGGGTGTTACAAGAACCCACTAGTTAGAGGGCTGAGGTATGGCTCAGTGTGTTAACGAGGACTGAGATGTGTTAAACACTTGCCTAGCATGTGCCAGGCTCTGCGCTCCACCACCAGGAACACAAAAAAATAACTAAAACCTTAGTGTGATTCGAACAGTCTCACTTTTCTTGCACTTGTAGGAAACCATATCCAAGTATGTCTTAAAACTGTCCTTGTAAATGTCATCTATGACACAGGAGTCTCAAGGACACCAGGACACAGAAGCTGCACCATGGCCTCCAAGGCACTCCTGTTTCTGAATCTTATAACTAAGCTAAGATGTCACTCTTGATAAATACCTACTCAGTTCATTGTATTTGATTGGTACTTCTGATGTCTAAAGGCACTTTATTTGAGGGCTCTTTCCACTTTTCCCTCATACAAACAATAAACCCAACAGTAAAAATAAAATCTATGATAACCTTGGGAGTTCTTACTGAACCCAAGCTGGAGAGTAGGTGCCTTGTTTTAAATGGCCCACCCTACAAAGACAAGTACCACCCCAATCAGGATCATGAAACTAGGGGAATAAGCAACTCACCAGGGGACTTTGCAGGCTCAGGGGGCACTACGGGCTGGCTCCCCTCCTTTTCTTCCTTCTGTTTTACATCTTCAGCCTCTGTGAGACTTTCTGTTGGGGTCTGTGCTTCTGGTGATACACAGAAAAGTTAAATGGCACTGAGGCCTAGAGGCACTCCCACCTAATAGATAGTCTAGGACAGGAAGGTCACAAGTTCAAAGCCTGCCTAAATTACAGAGTAAATTCAATTTTTTGTCTCGGCACCTCTGTAAGACCCTGTTTCAAAAACAAAACGATGACATGTAACTCAGCAATCCAGCACTTGCCTAGCCTGTACATTTTTAGTTACAAATGTAATGAAAAGCTATGCCCTGGTAATGATAACATCACAAAGACTAACTTGGGGGGAATTTGCCTTAGGACAAAGATAACTTCTTTCACTTTGAGATACTCAGAATGCCTAAAATCTCTAACTTATAGTGAAATCTTTTACAGACTACAAATTGTCAATAGGAAATCAAGTCTCCACCAAATTATTCAAACCTGTCATGGGAAACAGTCTATTTTTTTTATTATTATCACATAAACAAGAACCTGGCTGTGTCAGAGACTGCAACTGATGGAATCACAGACAGCCCCATGATCAATGGATCTATCCCCACTGCTGTTTCCCTGCACTGCACCAAGACAAAGGAAACGTCTCAAGAGACTGACAGTCTCCAGTCTCCAAAGGAACACAGAGACACCTGGTGGACACTAAATGAAAAACTAGCAGAGGGAATTTTGAGTTTTTCATTGTCTCAAAGGAGAAAACATATCTCAAAGTATATCCTTGGATAAACTCACCACCAATGAAAAATAATTCCCCTGAAAATGGGATGTGTTGCATGAGAGAATATATTAAAAGAGAAGAAAAATACACACAAAAAAAATCTTCAGCAAAGCAATGGTAAAATTACTATTATTATTATTATTATTATTATTATTTCCATTAAATAAAAACAAAATTAGTTATATACAATACTGAATTAAGCTGGGCAGTGGTGGTGCATGTCTTTAATCCCATCAATCGGAAGACAGAGGCAGGCGGATCTCTGTGAGTTTGAGGCCAGCCTGATCTACAAGAGTTAGTTCCAGGACAGGCTTCAAAGCTACAGAGAAACCCTGTCTCAAAAAACCAAAAGAAAAAAATCCTAAATTAAGGAAAAAAAAAAAGTTTCAAACAGTTTTCATGATGAGCATCTATGTACTGGAGTGTGGAATGTTTATTTATTGAAACAGGGTCTTGTTATGTGGACCAGACGGACCTCTAACAGGCAGTGATCCTCCTGCCTCAGCATCCTGAGTACTATGATTACACCAAGCCTGGCTCCGAGTGCAAAATGTTGACTTAAAGATTTAGATAACAGATCTGGAAATCCAGACATCCTGTACTGCACACACCTCTCCTACCCTTGAAGGTCCCCATTCCATATCATGGGTAGGTGCATACACACACATACACACACACACACACACACACACACACACACACACACACACACACACGCCCCTCCCCTCTCATCCTGGTCCCTCACCTTCTTCCTTCTTCCTTTTCTTGGCTGCTCTGTCTTTGTCCTCATTCTGCTCCTCCACAGAGTCCTGAATTGTCCGTTTTGGGAGCTGCTTCCGAGCTGGAAAGGCAAAGGGAACACTGTGGTTGACCACTGGTTTATCTGCGCTTGCCCTAGTGAGATCAGACACTGCGTGGTGGATGGGGTAACTTGGTGCCAGATCTTCCATACCTGCCAGTCACTTCCCCAATAAATATCTTATCCTTCAAGCTCTCAATCTGTGACCTTGAAAGTTATTTAACCTCTGTCCTGCTTCTTCTTGCATTTTAAGATAGGAAAAAAGTTCTAGTAAACAACAACCTGGTGTCTGACAGCCTTGTGGATTCAGTCACTACTTCAGCTCATGTCTTACCACACACTAGCCTCAAGCTGCCGCTCATCTCTTCAAATCATTCTGTACTCGCTAGAAAAACCAGTTAGAATTCCCATGTTTCCTACCTCAGGGCCTTTGCACATGTGGCTCCTATCTGGGATAGAACCTTGGACCTGAGCACCATGGACAACGGGCTTCTGAGCTCCCAGAACATCCCCAGAACATCCCTGTGACTAGCTCTACTCATAGAAGCATTCAGGGAACTGAATATGTGATACTAAACTTTAGCACCTAAGAGAGGGGGACAAACTGGAGAACCTAGTTTTAACCATACATTATTGTGAACACAATTTCAAGTCTAAGTTATTCGCCGTTTTTGTTTTTTTTTTTTTTAATGCTAAGGGTATGGGTTCCTATTTGAAGGGACTCTAGCCAACACCAGCTTGGCAAACATGGCTCTGGCAGGCCTTGTCCTTCTCCCCATTCCCTCTGCCTTACTAAAAACCGTTAGATTACAAGGCTAAAGCTAGCCACCAAGGTCTATTCCCTTATTTGACCACTTCCTCCTCCTGAGGGCGACTATCAAGATCCAGCAATCAAAGTAATGAATTCTAGCAATCAAAAGCCTTTTGGCTCACCTAATTAAAATTAAACTCCTCTTTTTAAAAGAGTTTATAAACGGAATTGCCTCTTTTAACTTTATAAACTGCCATCTTTGTGCCACCTCTGTCTCCTTCTATCCAAAGACAGTCCTTTGTTCCCCTCAGGGACAAATATCACTTCCCCCTCTCTCCCTTGTTCCCTTCCCCTTCTCCCTCATCCTCTATGTCCTGTCTTTATCTATTTCCTGCCCTTTGTCTCTCTGAGGCAAATAAATCTCCTTTGTGCTGAGAAGTTGGTCTTGGAGTGTCCTAAGCCAATACTAATTGGCTATTCATTATAACTTGACCAAGTCTGGAATTCCTAGGAGACATACCTCTGTGCCTATGAGGGCATTCCTGGCTATGAGAGACTCACCCTGAATTTGAGTGGCACTATGCTATGGGCTGGGGACAAGGAATGTATAGAAACAAAGGAGCAGAAAGCAAGCTGAGCACCAGTGCTGTTTCCTTCTTCTTCCCGACTCGAATGCAATGTGATCAATTGTCATGCCTTCCCAATCATTACGGACAGCACTCTCAAAAGTGTGAACCAAAATAAACTCGATCTTTAAGATGCTTTTGGCAGGGATTTTGTCATGGTAATGAGAAGGGGAAAAAGAATACAGTAAACCTTCAAAATCTGACATGCTATATGTACATGTCAATTCAGACATCAGGTTTTTGTCATGAATATTTAATCTGTGTTTGGGTTTTTTAAAAATTGACAGCATTCCATATCAAAAGCAGATTCCCATACCCAAGTTTCTCATGAGACACTGGAAAGTCTTCCCTTTTTGAAGCTGGCTCTGGTAGACCACCCTATATGAAATGCCTGGACCAAAAGTGTTGTAAAATTTGAGGTTTTCAATTTTAAGTCTACAGACTGTACTGGCTGAACTAGCAAGCATCTCAGATGTGATGGATCGGGCATGCTCATTCACCCTGGCTTCACAATATCCATTAATTAAAACACAAGTTTACAAGTACCTATCTCAAGTTATTGCATTACAAGTCATCAGAGCAGGCTCACAGTCCCCAGGTCACATGTGCCTCTCACCTGGCCCTTCTCCATACAAAGTCTTCTCCTCCCAGGCTGATTCTCTAGGATGTTCTCCAGTTTCCTCACTCAGTGTCCCCAACTCTGTTCCCTGTGCCAGAACTCTAGACCTAAGTGACCAAGATGCTCCAAATTTACTCACACTAGCTGGAATTCTCTTTCTTTTTCCTATCCCGCCTAGCTCTCTTTGCCTTTCAGGAATCAGCTTAGTTACCCTCTCTCTTGCAGAAGTCTCCATACTTGCACCTTTGTGCTCCTACCCAGAGCAGTGGGTAACTACCTCTCCACATGACAATCACAATTTCCTACATGTACTGAGTGCTGACTTAGGCAGAGCCAGGCCTATTAACTTTACAGGAATCAACCTTTAATCCTGGCACTTCTGGGCTGTTGGCACTGTACCTCTGCAAAGGTGAAATTGCTTGCCTCAGGTCACACAGCTGAGGGACAGTTAACCATGCTCACCACCAGGAGTACTATCATCAGGACCACAAGAAAAATGACCACCATGGAAAGGAAGGAGTTAGCCTGTCCTTACCAGTGCGACGCTTTGGGAATCCTGATGGGGAGATATCCATGGAGGGGCTGTTGAAGAAAGGACTATTCTCAGGACATGTGTCATCAGGGCTGGAAGGAGAGTTCTGTTTGGAGTCTGACACAGACTTCTGGAAGGAGACAGAAAGAAAAGTTCTAGAATAAAGAGAATGTATGCATTACCTGGCAGTTGCAGCTACCACACTTGAGAGCAGAATGAACTCGTCTCTCGTGTCTGCCATATTTCTGGTTCCTCAGTCTCATTCCTACTCAGGCTACCTTCTCTCATCTAGGTAATCATTTGACCCACCAAAACACTTTTAGATTCACTTCATTACAGACCCTAATATTAATTCTGCCTCTTAAAAGTAACAGAATCTTCCTTTTCCAGCTGTACATCTGGTGGCCTAAGTAAAAACTGTATGTACCAACCTCCCTTGGAGTTAGTAGAATCATGGGCCTGAGGACTACATTTCTCCGCCTTCTCTGCAGTTAGTGTGGTCATGAGACTAAGGACTGTGTTCAGTCTTCCTTGTATCTTCCACAAGGTGCAAGGAGCAGACTAATTCTTGCACGTTATTATGTGACACCATACACCATAGTATGCACATGTATTACCACACATTGATAAAAAAAATTTCTTTTACATAGAAGCAAGAAGTCACAAAGAAATGTGACCACAGAAAGCACAGACAGAGACCATAGGCTGGCTCTGCAGATGAAGAAACAGGTTTCTAGAAGCATGAAGTGGCCTTCCTTACAGGCTCAAGAAAAATGGCACTGCCAATACCCTAAGATAACCCACTCGGGTACCTGACCTACAGAATTATGGGATAATTGTAACATAGGAAGCACCATATGTTCTCTGTGGGGCACCTGAGGCATGACACTGTCAAGGTGCTGAATGACCTCCACATGCTAGAGAAGAGGTAGACTTGGGACCCTGTACCCCAAACCTCCTGCTTGAAGTCACAACAGTGGAGATTGTCTCCTGGACCATGTCCTCAGAGTCTTCCTGTATAGCTACTGCACTCAGCTGTATAAGTGAATAGGAAATTGGCAGGCTAAAGGTCAGCAAGACGGTTTGGTGGGTAAAGGTGTTTGCTGCACAATCATAGAGACCTGAGTCCTAAAACTCGTGAGAAAGTGGAAGGAGAGAATGCCACAAGGCTGTCTGTCCTCTGACCTCCACTCACACAGCAAGGATATATACACAAACACACAAAAATTAAATTTAGAAAAGAAAACCCAGCAGGCTGCTGAAACCTACCTGAACTTTGGGGGTGCCAGGAGCTTCATCTTCCTCCTCCCCTTCACTGCTTAAGACCTGGGCTGCCTTCCTTCCTGGCCTCTTCACTGGAGAATCACTCTCAGGCACCACTCGATTCCTCTCCTTCAATGCTACCCTAGAGAGGTGGGAGGGATATGTAGGCCAAATGGCAGGCAGAATGGGGACACTGCACAAAAACCTGCATTCCCTTCTCTTTCATTTCAGTGAGCATCTTCTGGGTCCCCCATGGCATTCACTCTTTTTTCTTTTGAGATGGTCTCATGTAGCCAAGGCTGGTCTCAAACTCTGTATGTAGCAGATGTTGACTTTGAACTCCTGATTCTCTTGCCTATACCTCATCAACACTGGAATTATGGTGTGGGCCACCATACTTAACTTTGTTATATGCACTTAAGTATTCTCCCCTCATTCCCTTTCTCCATCCCATGCCTGAGGCATCCTGCATGTCCATGTGGTAGTAACATGTCATGAAAAGCAGATGAATTTCTTGGCAGGAACCAGGCTCCAGTTTAACACTAAAATCCAAATGGAGACCTTCTACCTTCGTCACAGGAGTTTCAGCATGGTACACACCCAGGCAACAGCGTAACAGCCTAAAGTCTTACACAAAGAAAGGGAGACTATTATGCTAAGTCACTGTTCCCTTGATGCCAGCTCTGAGCTCCCAGCTTACGGAGACACAGGCATGATGGCATGTGTGCGAGTAGCAGTCACTCAAGTGCTTAATGTCCTCAGAAAGCTCACAGTCACAAGAGAGGCCACCGTGAGTACCAGCTACTTCCTGATGATATGCACTAATTCTACAGAACTTCTTTAGAAAGAGGGAAGCAGGTTCATGCTCAGCACCACAGAAAGAGTTCTAAGTTCTAACGACTTTGGAGAGTAGAGGAATAACCATATACTTGGTTCACCTCAAAACCCAGAGTGTCTAGAGCTACATCAGGCACACAGAAAATATTCGAAAGCTGTTTTATGAGTAAATGTGTATGTACAATCTCAAGAACATAACATATAGAAGCAATATATAAAAGACTCGTTATTGTTATTTAAAAGGTAAAGGTGTTTGTCAATATGTATGGATTACATGTGAGGCACTGTGCCAGCCACTTGAGCTCTTACAGTGGCAAACATGCAGACCTCAGGATCTAGTATGAGAGATATGTATCCATTCATCAGATATATTAAGCATCTACTGTGCCAATAACCATGTTTGCTGCAGCACTGCCTACTGGTCACAGTGCCTTCCTCTAGAGGAAAAAGGTCAAAAGCTTTTCATAGTTTTTTAAAAAATTTATTCATTTATTTTTATGTGCATGAGTGCTTTGCTTACATGTATATCTATGTACCACACGAATGCCTAGTGCCTGCAGAAGCCAGAAGGTGGCACTGGATCCCTGGAACTGCCACCACCTGAGTGCTTGAGAACTGAACCCGGGTCCTCTGGAAAAGTAGCAAGTGCTCTTAACTTCTGAGCCATCTCTGCAGCCCCTAGATTTATCATCATCATCATTATGTTATAATGTGTGTGTGAACAGATGCAAATGAGCACAGGTGTTCCAAGAGGTGGATTCTCCCGGAGCTGGAGTTACACCTGACATGACATGAGTGCTGGGAAGCAAACTGTGGTCCTCTGCGAGAGCAGTTTGTGCTCTTAACTGTGGTATCATCTCTCCAAGCCCAAGGTCAAATTTCTACCATAGTTTTGAGTTAATGTTTTTACAGTTACTATATACATTAGACAAACAAAAATACCAGCATACATAATTAAGAATAATAAAAAGCAAATCTAAAATATATTAGCATAGAACTGTTATACCCACAAAAATGAAACAACCTAAATATTAACCAAAAATTAAATGCCCAATAATTTGTATAGTATATCCATAGAAGGGAATACAAACAGAAAAAGGACTGAGCCTGTGAAAAAGGACTGAGCCTGTGTTCCTGAATTAAAAAAAAAAAATCCTCTAAGTCATGTTAACAGAAGCAAGCTGATGAATACAAAGCATGACCTAAGTAAATCACAGAAAACAAACCATCATTTGCCTGTACAGAGGGCAATGCATATGTCACAGTGACCAACCTCACCATCATAGTTTGACTCCATGTGCAGAATGCCTCTTCTGCAGTATGCAGTGTGTTACAAATGGTACACCAGTTTACTCATTGATCTGCATTTATCCAACGCAGAAAGCATGTTGGATATTTGGCACCTTTTTACTTATGAGGAAGCTGGGACAAAGGTAGTGAGGTCTCCTGCTCAACATCTCAATTTGGGGATTATGAACTAAATGTATTCATACCCATGCTGTGACCCAAAGGTGATCATGTTACCTAAGCAAGGCCATACAGCATCTTTCCTGAGACTCTATGAATCATAATGTGGCCAGCATCTCTACCCCATGGACAGGGTCTGGTCTAAAAAAAAAAAAAATGCGAAGCATACGGGAGCAGAGCCCTGACAAGAATTATGAAGTGTTAGTTAGATTCAGCTGTGCCTAAAGCTGGACCTGCCTTCTGGCTGTCAGATATCTAAATTAAAAGTATCGTTTTAAGGACTGACACATCTGCAGTAGGTTTTAACACATGAAAACAAAAGAATCTTGACTGCTAAAAGCACATGCCCTGCCCCAGCCCCTTACATACTTTGGAGGGGACTCCTTCTCTCTGATGCTGTTGGCTGTCTCTTTTTCAGGCTTCTTTGCTTTACCCTCTTTGGTGGGTTGGAAAAATGACCTGGAAGAGCACAGGGAGTGAGAGACATTAACAGCACCAATGCTTCACCTACCTGGGCCGCACCTGTAGCTCCAGACATCCATCCCCAGCCAGGCAGGGCCACACACCAGGGATGGAGTTTAGTGGTAAAGGGCTTCCCTAGGATGGGCAAAAACCTTAGGTTTTATTCTATTCTGAACAGTAAAAAAGTAGTAGTAGTAGTAGTAAAGGACAAGAAAACAAGAGAACAGAAAGCATCTGAATAAAAAGCTGTCATCCCAGGACAGACCATATCCAGGTTTTCCATCCCAAGAGTGGGCAGGGATTTGTGTCTCCTGGGTTTCCACAGTGGAAGACCAGGACTGAGTCTGCTAGTATCCATTCCCTCCTTTTCTCTAATACATCCCTCTCTCTCTCTGGTTTTCTCTCAGTACAGACCATGAGTGGCCTACACTTCCACCTATGACACAAGGATACATGACTCAGACCTCATCAATTAGTGCAGTACACTGCACACGTGTAGCCCACCACGATTTTTCCAAGCCAAAATTTGACTGTAATATTGCTGGGTCAGAAAGGAGAGAGGTACTCTCATACCTGGGTGGTGTGGAACAATTCTGTATCTGTCAATTATTTTTCAAATAAATGCTGATTGGCCAGTAGCCAGACAGGAAGTATAGGTGGCGCAACCAGACAGGAAGTAGAGGTGGGGCAAGGAGAACAAGAGTATTCTGGGAAGAAAGCTCTTTCCCACAGTCCTGTCCAGACACCAAAGAAGCAGGATGTGACCTGCCCTGCCGAAAAAGGTACTGAGCCATGTGGCTAACACAGATAAGATTAATAGGTTAATATAAATTATAAGAGTTGATAAGAAGCCTGAGTTAATGGGCCAATCAGTTTATCATTAATATAGTCCTCTGTGTGATTTCTTTGGGGCTTACCGGCTGTGGGAACTGGCCAGGACAGAAACCCTAACAAGCAAGCCCTCATGTTACACCTGAGATTGCTGATCTTGGGAGAGTCAGCCTGAGGATGACAACATCAATGGTAACAGCTGACCACAGAGAGACAGACCATGACAACACTTGTTGGATCTAGCCAAGCCTGGAGTTGTACACTGCAACTATGGAAACCAAGTACCTTTCTCTCTCATGTTCCTAAAGCCACCTTGCATTAGTATAGGATTTCTGAACTGGCACTGAGGCTATCCTGTGCACTGAGGGAGATTTAGTGCTTGCCTAAGTTTTGTTCACTAGATATCAAAAGCAAATCCCAGACCCCTAAAATGCCTGAACCAAAAATGTCTCCAGACATTGCCACATGTTCCCGGGGGGCACAACTGCTGAGAACCAACACATTAAGGACCCATACCCTGCAACTAAAGATTAATTAATGAGTTAATTGATTCATCACTTCCTCCCATATCCCACTTCTCACTTTCCAAACTACTCAACGCTAGGAAATTTCAACTTGAAGGCTCACTCAAGGTCTTCTCAAAAAATGCAAATTTGACACAGAAAGCCCAGGGTTTGGAGAGTGCATTATGTAGACACTATCTCTTGCAGGGAGGAAGAAGCTCAAGAATCAGGACGCTGAAGACACTGAGGAGGCTCAGACAGTTACAAGACTCACAAGCTCCTTCCCCAGTTACTGGGGGTTGAGAGGGATTCTTCAGTGGAGCAGCCTGCAGACTGAACAGAGAGCCCCAGTGATGCAGTTTTCCATGCTGGGGTGGGCTTTGGAGTGAGCGGCTACCTTTATGTCACCAACTTTCCTATAAGTGCCACCAATAAACTTAGAGGTTCACTAAGCTAAATTTGGGTGGAATCATTTCTTTGGCTTGTCATTGGTCCCCTATCTGTAGTGAATGAATATCAGTTCTCATTTTCCCAGGAAAAGTCACAACACAAAGCGCCTGGAGCATGGCAGGGGCCTTACATAATACTTCTCTGCATGGTGGCAGCGGAGTTCTCCCCTTTCTTCTCTTGTTCTTTTTTTCTCATTAGTTGGACCTGAAAAACAAATTCAAAGACCTGCTAAGGATGTTGGCTGTGCAAAGACTAAGGGGGGGACGAAGGCACAACTACCTTCCTTAAGGAAATAAAGAAGAGCTGGGTATGCCTTTAGTCCCAGCATTCAGGAGGCAGAAGCAGGTGGATCTCTTGAGTTCGAGGACAAAGCTAGTTCTAGAACAGTTATGGTTGTTACAGAGAAACCCTGTTTTGAAAGAAAAAACTGCAATCAGAGGCTGCAGAGGTAGCTCAGGATAAGAGTGCTTTCTGGAAAAGTAACAGGACATGAGTTTGAATCCCCAGCACCCATGTTTAAAAAGAAAAAGCTAGGCACGGCTGTACACACCTGTAAACCCAGTACTATGGGGTGGGGAAAAGTGGAGAAAGGCAGATCCAGTCAGCCAGACTAGCTGACCTTCAGTGTCAGTGAGACCCTGTCTGCAGACAGTAAGGAGCGGAGTGATATTCGCACACATGGGGCTGAAGTCCCTCCCACAGTTGTGAATTACCAAACACGTTACATACATAATCCCTGGTATACGCATACGCATACACATACACACATACACACACACACACACCAGAAATAGCTAAACTATCAGAAATATGCATTTACTCTTCAGGAAAAACACCCAATTTTATAAACCAATATGAAACTTTAAAATTTATTATTAAGGCATAAAACTTCCAAATCAGAAAAAGGGACGTCTCCTTTTCCATATGGTGCCTGCTTTCCATCTAATACAAAAAAATTCACTAAGAGTATGCAGATTCTTTTTCAAGTTTTTATTCTTTGAGAGTTAAGTTTCTTTATTCTTTCTCCTCCATCCGCCCCCGCCCCCGTTATGGTCCTGAGGATAGATGCAGGCAGGGTCTGGAGCTGCCAGGAAAGCACCCTCACTAGTCTACATCGCGAGCCCTCTTTAGCTGCCTGCCAGCTTCCCTTTCCAAACGTCCCTCCTCACCTTGACAACTTCCTTCTATCCTTGCTATCCAAGTTTCTCTCCCTCCCCAACTCCACACACAGTAAGCAACAAGCCCTGACCCAGGCCTAAGTGTGTCCAGGCCTCACCTCCAGACCTCCAGTCTTGCCCCTTCATACCCAGGCCTGTGTCCCTTTCTGGCAGCCCACCTCCTCTTGACACTCACCGCACCAAGCTTCTCTCGTCTTCAGATAGGAGCGCTATCTAATCAGTAACGACACCTTGCTCTCACTACAAGACTCCATGCGGCCCCATTTCGTCTAGCATTTTCCAGTGATAGACAGCTGGCGTCCAGGGTTAACACTGCAACACTGAAACCTTCCCTGCAGCCCCTCCTCACCCGACGCTTCCGACGCCCGTGGCCACGCCCACCACCGGCTTTTTCTCCCCGCCCCTCCGCCACGGGCCCCGCCCCTTTCAAGGCCCCCTCCTGTCCTCAGCAGACGCGGCACTTCCAACCTGCTGGGGGCTTCGTCCGCGAGTCAGCCGGCAGCTTTCCCTCCACCCCGCTCTCTCTTGTTGCTCTCTCTCCGCGCCCTCGGCCGCCGCGACGCCCCCAATCTCGTTCCGCTCCCCGCCCCAGAGCCGGCGAAGTTCACCGGCGACAAGCGCTCGGGACGCTCGCCGCTCCCCTGCCCCAGCCCCAGCCACGCTCCCACGGTCCCACTTGCCTCTCGAGTCGCCTCACCAGATGCCGGACTTGCTTGTTCGGCGACGCGCAGCGGAAAGCCCGAAATTCGCGCCACACGGATTTCGCGCGCAGACTCTGGCGGGCGGGGTTGAGGGTGGAGACAGCCGAAGGCGGATCCCGGGAGCCTCACGCGCCGCCATTATCGCCGGAAGACTGCTGGGAGTTGTAGTCTCCGGAGCATGAGGCAGCCTAGAAATGGGACAGAGTGGGGAGGGGAGGGGCGCTGTCCCGCACAGCATGCTGGGAAGCGGCCCGGAGCCTGTCCTCCCCGTGGACGAACCGGTGAGGCTGCGAGGTCGTAAGGGTGACAGGCGGGGATAGGAAAAGGGTTGCTGAAAGCTATTTGCCAGACACTGCGGGAAGAAAGGCGGGAGACCGCGCGGGGCATCCCGGGAGCAAGGGCCGGGCCGGGCTTGGGCGCGGGGCATTGTGGGAGGTGGACGCTGCTCCGGGTTGGGTAGGTGAGTTGAGGGGGAGGGGGCGGGAAGGGTGCACAGCTTGGGGAGAGGAGAAGCGCCGCTGTGTAGGATGGTCAGGCCGGGAGGGGCGGTGGTGAGACGGGCTGGGAAGATCTGGGGAGCTGGGAACCAACAAGAAGGGGCTGCGCGAGGGAGAGAAGGCTCAGCTGGACGTGGGGGGAGTATCAGGGGTGAAGAAGCCCATCTGAGGACAAGGGGCCAAGTCCAGAACAAAGACATTGAGAATAGTAGTTATTGCTGGGAAGAGAAGGCTGCAACTTAACCCAGGAGGAGAGTAAGTCTTAGGAGGAGTATGAACCACAGATGACTGTTGGTGACACTTCTGAGTTCAATTGGCCACAAGTGGGCCACACCCCAGTAGGCTAATGGCCCATGACTGGACTTGGAAAGGACATCTGAAAATAAGAGCATCCCTGGGAAGCACAAGCCACAGATCAATGTAGCAATTTAAGGCGGTCATATCTTAGGGGTAACAGATGCATATCTGATAAATCTAGGGGAAGAGGGAGCCAGGGTGTATAAAGAATATAGCTGGGGTTTGAAATACATGCCTAGCTATGAAGGTAGATATGAATGTAGATATGAATTACAGTCAAATGTAGACTTGTGGGAAAAATAAGTTCCAGATGAATGGGACCACTAGAAATTATCACCAGGGGCAGGAGACACTTCTGGGAGAAGGAGAAATCTTAGCCAGAATAGGAATACATCTGCAAAGATGTCCACAGCTGAGCTGAGGGCAAATATTTAGAAGACCCGATTCCCTTGTACCTAGAGGTCACATTTAAGGCAACTGGGACTAGAATAGAAATTAAGTGCCAACTAGACCTAAGGAAGGTAAATGGGATGGAGATTCCTTTCTGGAAACCAAACAGTAAAACCACTTTGATCGGCCCAGAGATAATATATGAGGCATCAGGAGCTGGTTAAACAGTCTGAATAGGGGGAAGTGGGGTAACCCAGGTGGGGATGGGTCTGATGTCCAGTTCTTCCCACTTCCACTCAGGGCCCCAGGATGGAGCTGACAGAACCCCCACCAGGCACAGCAGTGCAGAAAGAGGAACAGGAATTGTTGGATCGAACCTTCTTCTCATGGGCTGAATTCAGCCGCTTCTTCGACAAGTGGTGCCAGCAGCGGCTGGTGGTCTTCTCGGTGAAGAGCTCCACACATGTGGCACGCAGCCCCTGGGCCAGCGCGCCCCCACTCTACAGGCTCATCCACGTGCTCAAGTACAGCTACGTGCTGCTGGTGTGCAAGGATGTGCGCATGCCCAACCAGTCCACAGCGTGGTGCGTGAGCCTGAGCTGTGACCCTGCAGGGGGAGGGGAACCAGGGGTGAGCCAGACAGAGCTTCCTATCCACAGATTCAGTATCAGGGAAAGAAGCCACTGGCTTTGCCAAGTACAGAGAGGCCAAGCAGAACAGATCAAGGAAGGACACTTTCTGAGACAAGGACAGAAACTGAGCCAGGGGACAAGCATGCTCACTACAAAATAACCCAGGCTTGATATACAGGGTTTAGTAGAGGCCATGAGAGTGAAAGACACAATGAAACAAGCTAAAATGAAATGGGAAAATTGATTCCCCAAATACCAGAACCAGCCAGAGAAGTAAGAGGGCCAGGGTTTGCACTACCCAGGTTTTGCACGCCTATGAAAAACAACCTGGGAGTCTGAACTACAAGGAAAGCCACAAGACAGGCAGATATCTGTATTCATTGTAGAGCCAGGTCCTGTGCTGGGCGCTGGGGTCATTTCAGACTAAAATCTGCCCATCTATAACTTTTTGACGGGCCAGGAGGATTGATGTTAGCAGAATATGCATGCAGGTAGGTGCTGGCAATTGGTTGACAGTCCAAGAAAGCCTCTCAGGGCTGGGGATGTTCTCATTGGTATGTCTCCAGTCTTCATCGAATGTAGGACAAGACAAAACCATGCTTCTGGATAGAAAATGATCAGCTGCTGAGATAGGCCTTGAGAGTTCCTGTTTGTCCCTGTTCTACGTCTCTTTACTGCCTCATACTCAAGAGTTGCCTCTGCTTTCTCCTGCCTGTCTTGGGTGTGTGAGTGGGGGAGGGGAGATAGAAAGATTGAGACTGATAGTTTGAGGCCATGGATAATAGCAGAGTGCTTAAGAACATAGGCAGTTCCTTTGGGCTGGCTGCCAGATGCCAGCTCGTGTGTGTGTGTGTGTGTGTAAGACCTTAAGAATACAGGCTATGCGTTTGGGCATAGACTCCAACTCTATTAGACTCCAACTGCTTATTAGAGTGAGGTACCATTAAGTGATAAATTTCACACCTCCAAATCTCAATTTTCACATCCCTGGAATGGGGCTGTCACATGGATATCTGCTTCACAGGACCATTGTGAGGATATATGAGTATGAATAAGAAGGCATTTGCCCCATACTTGGCACCCAGGGCAACCAGTTAAGTGACAGTTGTTACCAAAGTAGGGGCATAAACGTGGGACTGGTGTCTACCTATAACTATAGTCATGGAGGAAATAACTCCACCCTACTGGGCCTCTGCTTACTCGTTTAGAAAATAAGGAACACAGAAGTATCTGTGACATAGGTTTCGAATAAATGAATTAATATCTGCTAATTGTTTGGGTGGACATTCCACACAGAGTAACACTCCATAGCTGTTCTTACCCAAGGTAAGAACATTTGTTGTGGAGGTATGCTCTAGTCTGTTCCTTATTCTAGAAGCAGAGATTCAAAGGTCTAATGCCAGAGCAGCATCAAGCTCATGTCCTCACACAACTGTCTAGAGAGGGAGCACTTTCATAAAGGACAGGGCTAACCCAGTCTCTGCTTTTACTAGCAGAACCAAATTCAGCTTTTAGCAATCATTTACTAAGGACTTCTTGTGTGTCTGTGCTCTTTCTGGGTGTTTTCAGACCAGAGTTGACTATCTCACCTCTTGAACAACTCAGAACCTAATAAAGGAGACAAAGGAATGGAAGGGAGGAAAGAAAAAACGCAACACGAAAAGAAAGGAAGAGCGAAATTTCAAATAGCCACATAGAGTAGCAAGCATCAAATTGAGGGTAGAGATGAGAGGTGGATAAAAGGAAATGAAAAGTGGTCCACTCTACTTAAAATCTTTTTTTTACATGTATTTATTTTGTGGAAAAGGGGGAAGCATGCCACAGTCTAGGTGCAGAGGCCAGAGAACAACTCGAGGGAGTTAGTTCTCTCATAACTCCATGTGGGTACCAAGGATCCCTTAGGCTTGGCTTGACAGCAAGCACCCTTACCCACTGAGCCATCTTGTATTTGGAATCTTAGGAGAGGTTCTAGAAGGGTTTCTAGAAGAGATGCCCAGTAAAAAGGTCCTTGGAAAGTTTATACACTTGGCCAAGTACAGTTTTTTTAACATATGGTGTATACTATCTGTAGTTACTGTCTCAGACATTCTACAAATGCCAGGAAGAGCCATTGGACAGGGGTTGGATGGCTATGGAGACAGAATATTGCCTTGATTTGAGCTTGATGACCTAGTGGACAGAAAGATTTGTTCCTGGGTAGAGAGCTCTGTAATGCGGGGGTCATTGACTAGTTTGGGGACACTGATTTGAACTCATCATTGCTGAGCTCTTGAACCTGTCCAGTTGCTCAGAGCAGGCCCTCTTGATTACCACAATCCTGGGACCATTGCTTTAAGTCCCTAACAAGGGTGGTGTCAAAATCAGGACTTGGCAGGGCTGAGTCCAGGGACTGAGACTTCATCCCTGTGATACTGAGAAGTTCTGAAACACTGTAAACAGAGTCAGTACTGATTTAGGAAAGTCTCATTCATGTGTGTAGACAGAGGCTGCTCATTTGTTTCCTGGCTGGCTAGACCTGAAATATTGACACAGAAACTATATTAATTGCAATACTATTTGGCCAATAGCTTAAGCATATTTCTAACTAGCTCTTACATCTTAAATTAACCAATTCCTATTATTTCTGCAGACATTTTTCTCCTTGGGCAGCTACATGGTGTCTCTCTGACTCTGCCTTCTTTCTCCCAGCATTCAGTTTAGTTTTCCCCACCTATCTCTATTCTACCCGGCCACAGGCCCAAAGCACCTTCTTTATTAACCAATGGTAATATTTTCAGCATACAGAGGGGAATCACACCTCACATATGGGCTGTGGTCTGGAGG